TGTATAAACCCATCAAAAGAGCAAGGATAGGGACAGCCTGAGGGGAAGGAGGAGGGAGTTCCCTCCCTGAAAACGAGATAAAGAAAATGCTGAAAGGTGGCACAATGGGTCAGCTTTACCACACGGTAATCCCATCTTCCTGAATTCACTTCTGCTTGGGGGAGGGAAAAGACAAAGGAAAACAATTCCTAAAAACTTATTAGAGAGACAAATACATTCGTTATCCTGAGCATGCTTTTCACCTCTGAGATCATGAATACCTCTGCTCGGTTACAGCACTAACACTGCTGTCTCTCAGGCTCCCACGCTTGCACGAATGCATGTAGAAGTGGAACAGCAGCAAACTTTAGCCCCTGAAGATTAGTCTCCATCAGAGAAAGGAGAAGGAGTCCTCTAGAAGAGAATCCAGAGCAATAATTTAACATAAGTAGGTCAAACTCCTTGGCAGTTTCAAGCCTTTAAGTTATTACTGCTTTTTTGGTGCCGTATTTGGAATAGGAAGGAATTGTAGAATTGTTCCTCATTTTTCTACACATGGGAGCACTTCCCTTTTTCTACTCCATGGATGATGTTTTCCCCATTGCGAGGACACAGAACACCGGTATTTTGTCTTAACGAAAAAACATCCCTTCAAGCTGCTCACTTTGAAGTGCCTTTGTATTCTGGAAGACGTAGTACTGACACGAACAATCACAGCGTGGCATAGTACTTTTCAGAATTCATAGCAACACCTACCAAATACAGCTCCTACTGCTACATTCAGCCACCCCAGCAAGAAAGACCGTACGGCAGATACCACCTTCAGCAACACATCCTCTTTGCTTTTTACGATTTCACCTACAAACTTAGCATTCCTAGAAAACATAGTGTATGAATAATTCAGCATGGGCAATGACGGCGCCCTAGGGAGGCAGGATGAGGCCACACAACCTGAATTAGTTTAGTTCACCAAGACAAACTCAAGTCCATCTTCCTCGCGACTGAGAGAAGTGTGTCCTCATGCAGCAACTCTACTTAATGCAAAACAGCACTTATTTACTCAGCTCAAAAGCCTGACAAGCTCAGAGGCAGAACAGTCTTTGTTTATTTGTGAGACTCTCACTTCTTCTCTATCCATGAAAGCTGAGAAACATCACAACATTTTTATGGCTCATCCTACGACACAGACGTAACAGGGTTTACCTGCCCTAAGTGGGATTCAAGTGAAGCAATCCTCATAAGTCATCTCTCCACAGGGAAAATGCCAACAACTGCAGAACAGCCATTCTCCATCTTAAGCGCTAGCGAATGAAACACTGTCACAATTTACTCTGAAGCACTCGCCTCTATGGAGATTAAGCAGAAAACAATTCCATGCAGATCTCTGACCTGAGGGGTGGTGGGGATAAGGACCTTGCAGCTCAGAAGTTATCCAGCTCTAAAGTCTTTGGGTATGTACAGGGGAACTAAACACAAACGTCACTTGCGCTTGATCACATCTGCTTCCCTGCCACTGCGGTAATACCACTGAAAAGCCATCACATAAAGCCAGCTCAGGCAAAATGCAGGATTTCCGGAAGCACTGCGCAACAAAGGCTAAACCTAAAAAGAGATTCTCCTTTTTATTGTTTTTGCTTTAAATAATTTGGCATTAACAAAGGCTTGAGAAGAAGTAGCACCACATTCTGGATGCTGAGGTCCTGGGATGAGTGTGTCTGAAAGGCAAGTGTCATTACATGAAGCTGAACACAAGCAAAACCATTCCGTTCCAAGCCTTTCTGCCACAGGATTTGGAGGCTTTACAGACATAATCTTTTGGAAAGGATACCGTTCCAATCCAAAAGCAAAAAGTAAATGAAATGCAGCTAACACCTTTTTCTGTATTTTCATGTGCAGCGCATCACTTGGTCTTTTTGTCCCCTCCTGCAGCACTGCAAGCATCTCTTTATTTTACTGAAATCCTCTTCAAAAAAAAAGAAGACAAAACAATCCAACACATCCCCTTTATTAATTTAAAAAACATGGAAGAAAAGTAATAGGGTAAGTTTTAGCAATAAAAAAGGGACCCTGCTTAAAAATCTATAGAACTTGACTAGCGACATAAACTGATTTCTTTGGGTTAGAGATGACCCCATACAAAACCCCAAATTCAGAACACTCACAGTGCAGGAGAGTCTGGCCACAGACCATTTTTCTACTTTAGGTTAAACTCTTCCCTTAGATTCATGTATCCCACTGCTACCAGCTTCGACATAAGTAGAATACATAGCCCTCACAGTAATATTTTCCTTAAATGGTAATGGATATGTTTTAGCTTTCAGACAGGAAAAAAACTCTGGGCCATGTTAGAAAGAACTCTAGGGTCACAGAGACTTATGGCTGACTCTTTAGAGCAAACTTAGAGCAGACTGCACAGCAGTTATACAAGCAATTAAGAAAAAAATCTTATTTGGCATTTCTCTATCAATATCTCTTGGGCCTGTGACGTGAAGGTCATTCACCGTTAAGCAGATGTAACGTAAGCCAATGGGTTCTGCTTGGCTGAGATGAAGGACTTTCATGCTCCTGAATATAAAGCAATGAACAGTGTTTCCAGCTGTCCCTGAAAGGCCTCATCCTCTTCCCATCACAAAACTTGGCTCTTCAGCATCGTCTTCCTTCTCTTCCTCCTCCTTGCTATCCTCTTCTTCATCCTCGCTGCTGACTTGCTCTTGAGATTGACCAGGTTCTAAAAATACAAACAGTATGAATTGGTAACATATTCTCATGTGTCTTCCTTGTTAAGTATTTCACAACAAAATAGTCTCAGGTGCTAAGCAAACGTCTATTAGGTCACGCTAATTAGTATGGATGGATAACATATTCCCATGTGTCTTCCTTGTTAAATATCTCACAACAAAGTAGTCCCAGATACTAAGGAAACATGTATCAGGTTATATTAATTCTACTGAGCGATGTAGAGCTCAGAAAATCAAATTCTCCCTTGTAGAAATATTCCCTTACCTCCAATGTTACCACTGTGCCAAGTCCATCATTAAATAACTCCACCTCCTATTGAACATTATTTCAAACAGAGGCAGTCAAACGCTAAAGTGATAGATCATCTCATTCCCAATCTCACCTCCACGTGTCGGCAGGACCTTTCAGGTATTACAGAGTACTGCTAAAGAATGCAGGCACTGGGAAGCCACAGGCAAGATTCAGTATATTTCTACACCTATCCAAGTTTACAGAAACTCCACAAGGTACCATGAACTTTTACAGACTGTTAGGTATACTGTAAGTACAGGAACTCGTTAAGATATGTGTAAGATTAACGAGGGTCACAGAAAACTCCTGAAGCCTGCTAAAAGAGCAGAAAACACCTACTAGAATTAAATAACAGATAATGAAAATTAGGCACAGCATAAAGTGGGACCTGAATCTAAAAGCTATTCTTCTGCTCCCGGTAGCTCTTGTACCTTTACTCTTTCTCAGGCCAAGTGACACTTGGCTCATACTCTGATCAGTTACACGCAGGATTTAGGATTAGTGGTCTGATGCCACCGCGTGGTGAAGTTCTGTACTTTCATTTTTTATTAGGGGTCTGTACAATAATGCAATTTTAACAGCTAACCTTATTTAGCACCAACCTTTATTCTTAATGTTTTTACTACAACAAAGGTGAAAGATGGCAACGCAGAGGTTTTATTTATTCATTCAAAAAGAAAGATAAATGCTTGCCTGCCACATCCAACAAATACATTTCAATTAATTTGGAAAAACTCTCAGATCTCAACTCAAGGCACACAAAACTAGAAAAAGACAAAAAAGAGCCTGTTCTCGGTAGACTAAAGATGGCTATCAGTGGCTTCTATCTCCACTGTTTTGTTGGGGTTGTTTTTTTTTTTTTAAGTAGAGAACCACAACCTGTAAGAAGCTAAGAACTATCCTAAAGACAGGGGAGTTTGGATTCTGGCTTCCAGAAGATGACTTATTCATGGTGAATAAAAACATTCCAGCCCAACAACTGGTTATATGGCAGTCCCATAGCACAGTGCCAGTCCCTGATCCAGCTCCCCTCTCTCCCAGCCACTCCCTAAAGGAATGAGTATTCTGTTTTGTTTACTCAAAGTGAACAAAAGTATGTTGACTCATACTTAAATTCTCTTCCCAGTCACAATTCATAAAAAAAACCAGAACCAAAACAAAACACCAAAAAACCCCACTCTGCTACATTCACTTGCTGTGACAAGTAAAATCAACCTAACGATTAATTCGTCCTCCCATGCTTATATAGGAGGCTGGCAATGGCTCAGCTGAAACAGATCCAATTTTGAAAGGCAAATCAGGTAGCACTGTCAGACAAGTCACTGTTCTAACAGAATTATCAGGAACTGTTGTAACTTTAAGACTAAGAATCACTGCAGAGTTAGTGTGCTAAACCACAAAGGACAACTCTTTCAAAGAGTAAGCTAAAATACACTCACTGAAAGGAAGCAACGAGTATTCAAAAGTTTGAGCAAAGAGTTACACTGACATTGCTGAACATTAATTTTCAAGACAGCGGGAGAACGGAGGCAGTCAGGTTTTCCACATTTATTTCTATGCAAAATAAAAGTCGTGTGGAACAGATGGCACCAAGGTGGATCAGTTTCTTACACACAAAATCGTAACTCAGTTTCTTGCTGTCCAAGCTGTACATTTTTCCCACCTGTTTTCCCATAATCATTCAAAATATACTTAAAAAACCCCAGCCTTTAACAATATTGCCTTTTTTAGCAGAAGATGTTCCAAATGTGCAGTTTGTCAGAATAGCTGGGGCAGAACATCCACAATCAACAAACTCAGATTCCAATGTTTGCTGTCTAAAATTTCCCCTAATAAAGGGAAAATATTCACAAACAGCCAAGTTATTTGTAAGATTAAATCTCAACATACATGACTTTGAAAGAGGACTTTTGAAACATTAGTTGAACTAACAAGCTTAAGGCTCAGTCTTCCAATCCATATATTGAGAATGCTTGGGGCAGGGGATGGAACAAACCCTTCTAGGCTTCAATTAGGGAACAGAACTAAGTCTTGAGAAAAGAAAACTAAATTTCACTGACCTTTTTCCTGCTTCTTTTGTTCAAGTTTATTTTTCTTAGCTTGCAGTTTCTTCTCTTTTAACTTCTGGCTATAAAGCAAAGAAGAAAAGACTCTTATGCAAATCCAACATTGTAATGCTTCTGCACATTCATACACTGATAAAGGACATATTACAGACACCCTGGAAAAACAGACTGCAGAAGAGAAGTTCAATTTGAATTTGGCCTCAAATGAAAATTCAGCGAGAGCAATCTTAGACATAGAATCAACAGAAATTTTTCTATGTTGTTTTTAGTCTAATGGATTTTTTTTTTTAAAGTCTTCCATGATGCCACTGCAACCAAAACTATGTGATATGCAAGAATCTCCAAGAACACATAAAGAAGTAAAATTAAACTGCCCCTCCATTTTAGCTACCTAGCCTAATAAACAAAAAGAGAAAATGGTGTCAAAATCCAGACTGCTGGAACTGAACACTGGAAAAAAAATTAAGTCATCCTGAGCAATATATACTTTAATTGAAAAAAAAAAAAAAAACCCCAACGGCAGCATGCTTTGATCTTCATCTTTGGCTGTACTTCATCAATATGTTGGGCCCTAGGACTAACATTAGAGGTAAGAGGGAATTTCAGTTCATACGACCTAGTTCTGTTTGCCTAGCAAAGGTAACCAGGCAGTCTAATGGCAGAGACAGGGCAGAGCAATCAGGGATTCATGTTCCTCTCTCAACACCATAAATGAATTCTGTTGAAACAGAGAGCCAAGTACTGTACCTGTTAGGTCAGGACAGAAGAGAAAGGGTGGTGAGAGAAGTTAGAGGGGCTCCTACAGGGCAAAGCCGCTTGGGACCTACACCATTAGACTACTGTATAGAGGAAAGGGGACAAGGAGGTGTTGGAGTGTTTAGGCAGCATTTGCTGTTTGAACAGTTGTTCTCCATCTCAGCCGGGAAGAAGGCAGCAGGCCAGATCTGACTTGCTGGCCATCTGTTGGACCACACTAAATTAAAGTAAGATGGCAACAGTGCTCGTGTTGTGCACTTTTGTGCTAATACGCCAGTGAGTCACTTTGCACAGGCCTTTCAGCAGCAACTCTCAGCTACAAGATGTAAACCCCTCAAAGAAGCAAGAGAGAGGCTGCTCAGGGTCAGACCCTCTGAAAGAGCTGAGCCATGATACCCTGCTATTTCTGAAAGGTATGGTGGACACAGACAGACTGTGGAATTTAAATTCCTGTACCACTGCATTACAGTGCTCAGACTATTTCTTGACAGCATCAATCTTGTAACTGTTTCACTTTGTTTAAAACTTAAGAGAAGGATAGATTTAATATTTTTTAATTTTTCCATCTGACTTACTAGACTTGACCTGCCAGACATTTCAATGAGGTAGGTAGAAGTGGCTACTGATTTTAACAATACTGCACACATCAGTGGCCTTTTCAAGTATTGACAGACTGAACTGGACTAGTCACACTGGCAGCATATGGAGGACAGCATCAGGCTCCACCATGCTCTGCTAGTCTAAATCCATAAGCGTACCCATTAAGCAGCACCCATTTTTGCACTTAAGCTGCTTGGTGTCAGCTGTTTCAGATATTTATTTAAGCCAGATGTACATATAAACCTTTCCTGACATTGTTATAACAAATATGCAATGTAACAATGCTGCAGTCACCACCACCATGTCAGCAAAAGCTGCTCAACCATTCAAAAGTTATCTGCTAGCGATGGCACAGAAAATAAACCATGCCAGCAAAGCCTGTCAAATTTACAGCTACCTTTAGAAATCAAACAATGACATTAACAAAATTAACTTCCACAGCCAGACTTCTCAGCTGATAGATGTAGACACAGAATGAAAGCATTTATCCAAAGCATGCAGCTACAGATGAGGCACGGGGCATGAGGGTTTCCATGTCAAGCCTCCTGGGAACAATCTGCCCTTACCGCTTCCTTCTGCGTTTTGCTGTTTGTTCTTCTGCAATCATCTTATTCCTCTCCAGTTTCTTCTGGAATTCCTCATCTAGTCTTTGCTGTAATTGATCACATGTCATACTTTGGTCACAATCTAAGTTAAAATACTTTTAAAAGTCAAGTCCTTTCAGGGAGAAGTCTTTTAGCAAAATACAGAAGGGAGCTTTGACAGTTTTGTCTGGCTGCTTCTTTATACAAACGCCATATTCCTAGGGATGACTTCTGTACAGACAGCATTTTTAACCTGCAGCCTGAGCCAATCACTGACGCCTTTAGAGGGAGGAATCCTCACTGAAACAGATGAGGGAGGCTGGGCTTCTGCCCTAAAGAATGTTTCAGTAAAAACAAGAGAATAATTTGAGACACAAACATTAACATAGGGATCACAGGACTCATCTTGGGCAAGAGAGAGCATAACAATAATGCTTTCTGAAAGGTGTTACTCTACTCGACCAAGACTTAAAAGAAAGAGATCCAGTCTGTGCACAGGCACTTGCTTTGATTCTGTCTGTGCAAGACACTGGTATTAGGGATTTCCAGTTTTTAAAGTATTTTTAATCCAATCTGAGAACACAAACATTCACGTACAGTCTCACTGTGTGCTAGGACCCCCAATGAACAGAGAAGATGGAGCATGGCTGACATAAAGCACCAACTGTGTCAATACTGACAAAGATGCCACGTATCACATTCCTACATTTTTCCTCTGATAAGGGGTGGTTTGGAACTGAATTATTTGTGCAGGACTTTAAAAGAAAAAAAAATTTGCAATGTACACCAAATAGTCGGAGGGTGGCAAATTATAAAAAGAGTCCCGCTGACCTTCTCAGCCATGGCATCCATGAAATCTTGCCTTTGGTACTCTCGCCGACGAAGATGCCGGTACACATGAAACTCCCCACTCCCAGCTCCAGCACTGGAACCTACAATAAAGAAGAGTTAGTTTGCTAGAAAATAATATACACTAGATGCTCACAAATGACTACAGCTAGATGCTGAGGGACAGGACAAATGAAAATGCACTGTAAGATTAAAATCTACTAACAACACAGAGAGTGTGTCACCATTTTATATAAGCTCAAATCACTCACAATCAAAAGCCAAAGCGAGCTGCAAAACCATACACTTTTGGGTTACTGCAGTTTCTACTGGTCAATTACTCCCCTAGAGAGAATCCAATCTTAGCTGGACATTGAGGCAGTAAAAGAACAAGAGATCAAATGCACACCCCATTCTCTTCTAGGCAGAGGTGAGCTAAAACATCCTACTGAGGCTGCTTCTCTCTAGTTTTCAGCATCTCATACAAAAAAATAAAGGTCAATAGAAAGGTGATAAACCCCATCATATTATACTTTCCTATGCAAGATGGACACCACTGACAGTTTTTGACCATTTCTTCATAAATGAAATCCCTATAGTTCTCTCTTCCTGGCATCAGTCTGCGTGTTGAAGTCTCACGGGAGCTTTCAACATCACACTCCATTCTCATCCTCTGTCTCCTGAGACATTTCTCAATGCAAAGCACAAATACATGCCTAAAAGAAGACACCTAGTAATTAAAACAGGGCAGCTGGGACTGCAGTAGGGGTGCTCTTGATACTAACAGAATCCCAGCACATCAGGTGCTCCCAGAAAAACAAGACAGTTCAACTCAAGCACACAGCAAAGCTATTTGAAAATGAGGGAATTACAATAGGCAGAACAGTTTATTCAGAAGTGTATAAAAGCTTTAGTCCAAGATCAATTATTCTGAAAATAAGAACAAGTCAGCCTCTAGAAAGGATCATTAATAAGGATGAAGGTCCCAAAGAAAGACACTTCTACATGTAGATGAAATTTATACCACAACTAGTACACTTAATCTGTGCAGGCAAAAGTAAAGTGTAAGCAGAATACTTGGGTTGGGTTCCTTGCACAGGTGCCAGCTCCCTACCTGACCACATACAATCATATCCGTTGCACGCGTCTGCATCTCACTGCCTGAGATTCAGACTCAAAGCAGTCAAAAGGGACTTCATAATTATGTTTCCAGAGCACTCTCAGATCCATAGAAAGGACAGATTTACTTATCATGATTTACCTGTCATCACCAGAGCAGCAGCTTATTTCACTGCACGCAGTCCATGTGCTGGTGTGCCACAGGCATTGTTCACTTTGCATTTTGACAACAAGCAGAAAAGTGGAACCCAAGAACCAAATAGAACTTGGAAAAGCAATTCTTGAAGCACATTTCATACCTCTTTTCTCCAGCAAAATGAGCAACAACAGAAAACTGTCTCCAGCCTTTTTTTGTTAAACACTTTTCTAAATTTAACGTAGCTGACCCTACAGTTATCTGAAGAATAGATTCTTTACCCATCACATCTCTAACAAACTCCGGGGGAGGTCGTGGTGCCCATTCATTCAGTTTTTCAGGAATCGGTACAGTCTTTTCCTGCAAGAACAAACCAACCAGTCATCAGTATCTTCTAGGAGCAAAGTCTGCAATTTTAACACATTGTTGAGAGGTGGTATACGTCTGACAACAGCCTCTTCCATCAGCTGACAGATCTCAGAAGGAGCACAGCTGTAGTAATTTCTTCATGCATAGGGATGAGGAGCAAGCAAAAAATGAGAACCAGAAGGTATCCGCTTTCCCTCACGTTCAGGCCTGCAGGTCAACAAACCCCAGGAGGATTAGGAGTGTCTGTGCTTCTTTTCAGTATGGAAACTAGAAGGAAGCAAGTCAGCACCTCCAAGCACTCGCAGAAACCGAGAATACTCCCACTACCAGTAGTCTGGGAAGAGATGAAAGGCATTTGTGCACCTTCCATGCCAGATCTAGGTAGGGCAGGGAAGATCGGGGAAGGGAGAAGACATGGTGCAAGGTCAGAGGAAGAATACGGCGCCGGGAAGTCTCAGCCTCCTCCAGCGCATACGCACAGAGGGAGGGTGAGAGCCTCCACCTGGCAAACGCCTCCTCCTCAGGACAAGGATCAAAACACCCAGTTAGAGGAACCAGGGTCATGCTCGCCCCCGCCTCCCCTCAGTTAAAAACAGCGGGCAGAGGAAAGACCAGCTGGCAGAGCGCTGAGGGACCGGTCCCCCCTGCGCCCCCAGAGATGGGTTTCTCCCCTCACGGCACCCCGGAGAAGGATCCCTCTCCCCTCAGGGCAGCCCAGGGGGTGTGTGGGGGGGTCGGCCTGTCTCCCCTCGCAGAGCGGGGAGGGGAGGAGGCGGTGCTGCTGTTCGCCGGGGAGCAGCGGCGTTGAGGTCGGTCCCCCTCCCCTCACAGAGCCCAGGGTTGGTGGGGTTCGGTCTCTCCCCCCTCACGGCCCCGGGGAGGAGGAGGGGGCGGGGTGCCGGTCCGTCTCCCCTCATGGAACCGGGCAGGAGGAAG